GCTATGCTATGCTATGCTATGCTATGCTATGCTATGCTGCGCTATGCTATGCTATGCTATGCTGCGCTATGCTGCGCAATGCTAGGCTATGCTATGATACGCTATGGTGCGCTATGCTATGCTATGCCATGCTATGCTATGCTGCGCTATGCCATGCTATGCTATGCTGCGCTATGCTATGCTATGCTATGCTAATGCTATGCTATGCTATGCTGCGCTGTGCTATGCTAAACTAAGACATGCTTTGCTATGCTATACTGTGCTATGTTATGCTGCGCTATGCTATGCTATGCTATGCTATGCTGCGCTATGCTATGCTGCGCTATGCTATGCTATGCTATGTTATGCTATGATATGCTACGCTATGCTATGCTATTCTATGCTATGCTAATGCTGCGTTACGCTAGGCTAAGCTAAACTGAGCTAAGCTAAACTAAGCTAAGCTAGGCTAAGCTAAGCTAAGCTAAGCTAAGCTAGGCTGGGCTGAGCTAAGCTAAGTTAAGCTAGGCTAAGCTAAGATGAGATAACCAACGCTAAGCTAAGGGAACGTCACTGGGGGAACCGCGGGGCGGATCCTGGGGGAACCGCCCGGGGCGTGGAACACTGCCCGGCCCTTTAAGCCAACACGGTAAGAACCCTTCTAGGCAGAGCCTGGATAGTGAATAAATAGGCCTAACATTAATTCATCAGGCAAGTATGAATATAGTGATCATCGTCGTGCTACCATTGCTATGATTCGTAGGAGTAGTTGTTGCAATAACATTATTGGCTCAAGATTATTAGTATTAGTGTTCTGAATAATAATATTTGGAGTAAGAGCAGTATCGATATTAATAATACGGAGAAGACTACGCATACCAATGCGAATACTAGCCGTCATAATAAGTAAAACAGTATCAATACTATGAATAGGAAGAGGATGGTGATGAGGAAGAGGAGGAGAAGGAGGAGGCTGGGGAGGAGGAGGGGAGGAGGAGGAGAAAGAGGAGGAGGAGGAGGAGGAGGAGCAAAAGGACTAGTATAAACCCAAGGGTCATCAACGATGTTGGAATAAACCCTCCTTGCAAGCTCCCTCTTCATTGGCCCCTTACAAGGGTTCTTTCCAAAGGGAATTGCCTTGTTGGAAGGCAACCGATTAAAGACCCTGAATCATGCCAAAACACTGTTCTCGGGATTCCAACGCCACGCATTAACATGACTGTTGCGTCTTGACGATTCTGAATGATGCCATCACCGCGAATCAACGTAACTGTCGCGCCCTCATAATCTGGAGTACGCCCAAAACACCTTTTTCGGTCCGCTGATCATGGGAATCCGTGAATCTTTTGCAGATGTTTAAAACGAATGGGCGCGGCGCTAAGGCAAGAGCCACAGTTTGAAAAGGAACCGCCCTCAATCCGTGAAACTCTTGCACATTCTGAAAAACGAATGTGCGCGGTGCTATGGCGAGAGCCACATTTTGAAAACCACTCGCCCTCAATCCGGGAAGCTCTTGCATTTTTAAAAGAATGTGCGCGGAGCTAAGGCGTGAGCCACCTTTTGAAAACCATTCGCCCTCAATCCGTGAAAATCTTGCAAAGTTTTGGAGGGAATGTGCACAGTGCAAAGGCGAGAGCCACATTTTGAAATCGACACGCCCTCCATGTGTGAAACTGTTTCCAATTTGTAAGCCTCAGAGTCGTAACTGGTGAGGAAGTCTCAGGCGAAACGCCTGGCCCACCCAAAAAACTGACCTCGGGGTGCGACAGGGAGAAGTTATCTATATGGAAAAAGAAAGGAGGAGAAGGAGGAGGAGGAGGGGGAGGAGGCCCAATGTCCGATGTCCCAGCCCGGGCAGTGGAGCGTCAGCCAGGTCGCCGCGATCGGGCCCTGGGCCAGGGGGGCCAGGAAGGCCGCTGCAGCACGTCGGCCTCCAGCACCAGCCAGGCTCGCTGAAGCCTAGGAGGAAAAGGTACCCATACCGTTACCCTTCGCCCCGTTCTCCTCGTTTCCGCCTTCCTGGGAGGCCTTCGTCGCCACCGCCGGATTCGCCTCGAAATGCTGGTCAGAACGCTCCCTGGGAGAGGTCCAGGGAGTAGCGGTATCAGTACCTTTTGGTGGTCTCCCCAGTCCCCGAAGCCTCGCAGCGGAGCACCAGCGGCACCGATGCCTCGAAGATGGGGTCGTGCCTCGCGTTGCCCTGCGAGGCCAAGTAGGCAAGTAGGCGGTCGCGCCTCCAGCGGTGCTCCGACCCGCCAGAGTCGCGGCCGAGTTTGGGGGGCATCCGCATGCGGGCTTCGCCCACGCCCGAGACCCCCGCGCCGTGCATGACCGAGGGCGACGGGCCTGTGCTCCAGAGGTGCGCCACCTTGCGCCCCGCGCCCGTCTGCAGGATGCGGAGCCGCCTTCGGGCGTGCCCGAAGGGCTCTGAGGCGGAAGTGGGCCTGCTCCCGCTTCATCCGCGGGCCCATCAGGTCGTGGGCCAAGCTGCGGACGCATTTCCGCGGGAGGAAGCCCAGGGAGCGGGCCTCGGCGGCGAACCGCTCCTGGAACCGTCCGCGGCGGAGGATTGGGCCCGACGTGGGCGACTTGACCGCCAGGCCGCGGTCGAAGACGCAGTTCGAGGACTCTTGCGCGGTTGCCTGCCGGTCCGACGCGTCAGCGTCGGCAGGCCCCACGAAGTGCAGCGTGGTGTCGCCCACGAGCTGGCAGGACGTGATGGGAGGGCACCGCTGCGACAGCCGCCAAATGGTCCTGTGCGTCAGCACGCCCAGCAGCGTTGGCGCGTGCGAGCAGCCCGCAAGCACGCCCTGGTAGACGGCGGCTTCAAGGCTGAGGCTCACTCGGGCCCTGATCCACCGTGGTAGCTGATAGAGTGAGATGAGCATCCACGCCAGTCGAGCCGGGAAACCGACCTGCTTGGGTTGCGCGTCGGCTAGGCCACGCCGATCATGTCGAAACTATTGATGGTCCCGACGACGTACATGCTCTCCGAGGAGGGTGGCCATGACGTGGTGAAGGTTCAAGTCGCACGCGCCATCGGACGACGTGAACTTCGAGCGGTTCCTCCCACATCGCGTCGGAGTATCGGTCCTGCTCCCAAGCCAAGCCTAAGCGCCGCCTCACGCGGCCCCGCATACGAGTGTGGCTTTGCAGCAGCGGGATCAACCTCGGCCGCCGTCGGCCTTGCCGAGCTGGACCAGCTGGGCTGCGATCCTGGCGTCTGGTGAGACCCCCAGGCGCTCGCAGTACTTGAAGACCCTGGCCATCGCGGCCATGCACTCGTCCGAGAGGACGGTCAGGGCGAGCGAGAAGCCGAGCATCCAGAAGGACGCGTGGGCAGAAGAGCGCGCGATTGGCAACCCTCCGTGGAAAATCTGAACACAGCGTTGCCGACTGGTTGCGTGCACGCCAAGACCCGACTGTGAAGCAGAGCATTGCCCAACGGCCGTCCCGGGGGCGAAAGCCCAGCGCGCTTGCGTCTGCGTCCTTGGAGTAGGATGTCGACTACAGTATTGATTTACCAGCAAATTGTAATCTTCGTCGAACCTGTGAGTGATAGGCATAAGGTTCTTAGATCTGCTGCCACTGTAGGTATTGGTTCGCAGATTTGACGAACAAATCAATTCTGGGGTACATCGATTCTGTAGGCGATCTCCTACTCGAGTCCTGCTGGCGCACCTTGGAGGCCGTGTGGGCTCCAGGGGCCCCGCGGGTGCGTCCCGCAGCCAGTCGCGCCAGGCCTTGTCGGCGGCCCTATCGGCCTCGCGCAACTTCGCCGCCGCCGCCGAGAGCAGCCAGTCGACCGCGCAGTCGAAGTGCACGGAGCCAGCGAAGCCGACGCCCTGTGCCGGGTGCGCGAGCACAGGGTGGCCCAGGGCGCGCCAGGACCTCGGGGTGCGCCCGCCAGCCTTGCATGAAGGCGTGCGGTCCTTCCCGCTCGCTCAGGAGCCGGCCGCCTGCCGTGCCGCACCCCGCGCTCTCGACGTCGTCGCTCCTCAGCCTGCCCACCCTGTCCAGGCAGCTGGCGCGCAGCACGCCGAGGCAGAGCATCCGGCGCCGAGCGACCGCCCACCGGCCAGCCAACGGGTCGCCACACTGCCTTCGAGGAGGAGGCCTCCACCTCAGCAGCTTCCAGCGCACCCCTGGCGGCCCCTGACGCCCTCTGTGCACCCCGGCGGCGGAGGAGGAGGAGGAGGAGGAGGAGGAGGAGGAGGAGGAGGAGGAGGAGGAGCAGGAGGAGGAGGAGGAGGAGGAGAGGGAGAGAGAGGGAGCGGGAGGACGGAACGGGCGCGGGAAATGAGGGGGCAGGATGTGAAGGACGAAGAAGAGGAGGTGGCCGTAGAGGAGGAAGAGGATGGCATCGTGGTTTCCGTCGCTTAGAAGAAGTCCAGCCAGCCCGAAGAGTTCCTTCCTCAGCTGTATGCTCGAAGCGGGCGGCTCACTGGTAGATCTCAGCCTGGCAGTAAACATACTTCTTTTGGAACATGGTCCTGGTTCGAGGGTCTGGTCAAAGGACGGGCTTCGCGGCCATCCCCGCGAGCTTTGCCAATTGAGGGCTGTCTTGTGTGACGTATCCTGGTCCCTGCGGTACTGTAGTTTTGAGGGTGCACATGGTTGCACAGAATGTTGAAGGTATCACCGCATGACGTCAGAGGAGAATGAGTAGATTTGCTCCTCGACTATGTATCCAGGAGGTCGCGCAAGAGGTCGCACAACGTTTCGCGCGATTTCAGTGGAGCCCAGCCGGCGCACGCGATTGCCACCTCGCGCGGCCACCAGCAGAACACCTGCGCAGGAGTGGAGGCCGAAGAGGAGAATGTGTGGAGGTGCTGTTTTGTTGCCTGCGGCGGAAAGGCTTGGTCGATTCGCTTGCGCGGCTGTTTGCCTGGCCGCGTCCAGTCCTCCCGCTCCTCCTCCCTCTGCGGTCCACGGCCATTTGGGCCCAGACTCCGCAGCTCGAGCTGGAGGTCAGGCCAGGGACCCCTCGCGCCCCGCCCTCGCACTCACGGGTCGGAAGCATGGCCGCCAGCGGAGCGCTGCCCCTCAAGTGCGCCGCGGGCGAGCAGCCGGAGGCGCGGTGCGTGGCCACGCCGCTGCGCAGCTCCTGCAAGCTGAGGGCGGAGGCGGCCGCGTTCGTGCCCGGCGCGCGGGCCGTCGTGGCCGCGCCCGCCCCGTGCCAGGAGGTGGCATGGACCTCGTCCGGCCCCGCCGTGGTGTCCGTGCGCTCCATGCAGCACAGGGGCTGCGCCGTGGTCCTGCTCCGCAACAGGGAGGTGCTCGAGAGGAGCGTGCGGCAGCAGGTCGCCGTGATCGACGGCGTCTGCGTGGAGGTGCGGCGGCACTCGCGGAAGCCCAAGGACGGCGAGCAGCCACTTGGCGAGGGCGAGTCGCAGGGCGTCTTTATCGCGTGGGGCAACCGCGTGGCGCGGAAGGTGGGCATCAGCGACGAGGGCATCGAGGCGTACTTCAACGGGCTGGTGGGGAAGCCTTGCCCAGACGGGCTCGACCCGAAGGCGCCTTTCGAGGAGAGCTTCCAGAGCTTCCCACTCTCTTCTGCGGGGCCGCTGCCCCTGAACGAGCGCCCCAGGCACCAGGAGGCGACGAAGGAGCAGCTCCTGGACGGTCCGCACGGAGCACCCGAGAAGGTGCGAGAGCTGTGGAGGGCCAAGGAGCGTCTGGACGCGCTGTGGGCGCGCCCGCCGCCGCCGATGGGCCGGTCGGTGATGCAGCGGGTGGCGCGGGATCAGCTGTTCCCGCACTCCGGGGGCGCGGAGGGCAAGAACGGGGAGAACCGCGCCGGCGACAAGCTGGCCGAGCTGGCAGAGTCGACCGGGCTGCTGGAGGGCGTCCCCGCGGGCTCCGCCTTTCTGGACCTCTGCGGCGGGCCCGGGGCTTGGTCGCAGTTCCTCCTGGGCCATCGCGGCATGAGGCTCCGCGGCTACGGGCTCACGCTCAGAAGCGGCGCCGGCAGCGCCAGCGACTGGAAGTCCGAGGAGAAGGACGACTGGTACGAGGAGCTGTACTCGCGGCCAGACTGGCGAGCCATCTGGTGCAAGGATGGCACGGGAGACCTGCTGAAGCCAGGGAACGTCGAGCACGCGGCAGGCCAGCTCTGGAAGGAGGCTGGCGGCGTCTTCCTGTGCGTGGCAGACGGAGGGTTCAGTGACCACGCCATCCCGGCGAACCAGCTGGAGCTGTACTTCTACCGCCTCCTGCTGGCAGTCGGAGACCCACGAAACGACAGACGCATGGAAAGTTTCGGAGGTCCGCCTGGAGTTTCCTTGTCGGGGCTGAGCCCCTCGTGGCGACGCCTCTGGCGCGGCCCCAGGCGCGCTCCGCGCGCCGAGAAAGAGGTGTGGGGAGGCGGGTCCTAAAACGAATCCACGCGGCCCTTCGACAGCTCATGCTCACGATATAAGCCCCGCGGTTCTGGGTAAGAGTGGGGGGGCGGGGGTCGTCTCGAGTTTTTGGGGCTCGAAGGCGCATGCCAAGAAGCTCGCCGCAGGCGCCGATTCTGCTGGTGTAAGTTGGGTGTGTCGGTGGGAGGTCGCGGGTGAGTCGCAGGGTGGCTCGCGGGTGGGTCGAGGAGTGGGTCGCGGGTTGGGTGTGGGGTGGGGCCGCGGGTGGGGCTTGGGGTGGGTCGCGGGCGGGGCGCGGGTGGGTCGCGGGTCGGACGTGGGGCTTGTCTCGGGGCCGGCAAACAAGGGGAATCCGTCCCTGGACCCCCGCTTCATCCGCGCACCCAGGGACTGTAAGACGTTGTGCGACTGTTCTGCCCCTTCGCTCTGATGTTTTTTCCCAACCATCCTGTGGTGTTGGGTCCTCGTTTTGAAGAGACGGTGCCCCGCGTTCTCCTTCCTCCCGCTGCCTCCTCCTTGCTGCCGCCCGCATGCGTCACGCACACCCAATTCGGCACACCCCTCACACGTTTCGTGGCCCCATAAGGCTCCACCGAAGGCCCCAGTGCTGCCGCCCGCATGCGTCACGCACACCCAATTCGGCACACCCCTCACACGTTTCGTGGCCCCATAGGGAGCTCCGCCGAAGGCCCCAGTGCTGCCGCCCGCATGCGTCACGCACACCCAATTCGGCACACCCCTCACACGTTTCGTGGCCCCATAGGAAGCTCCGCCGAAGGCCCCAGTGCTGCCGCCCGCATGCGTCACGCACACCCAATTCGGCACACCCCTCACACGTTTCGTGGCCCCATAGGGAGCTCCGCCGAAGGCCCCAGCGCTGCCGCCCGCATGCGTCACGCACACCCAATTCGGCACACCCCTCACACGTTTCGTGGCCCCATAGGGAGCTCCACCGAAGGCCCCAGGGCTGCCGCCCGCATGCGTCACGCACACCCAATTCGGCACACCCCTCACACGCTTCGTGGCCCCATAGGGAGCTCCACCGAAGGCCCCAGCGGCCGCGCTCACATGCGTCCCCGCCACCCATCCCGGCACGCTCCTCACAACAACAGGTTTCGTGGCCCCATAGGGAGCTCCACCGAAGGCCCCAGTGGCACCGCCCGCATGCGTCACCACCCGCACCCAATTCGGCACACCCCTCACACGTTTCGTGGCCTCGTAGGGAGACCGAAGGCCCCAGTGGCGGCGCTCACAGTACACCCCTCACGCGTTTCGTGGCTCCATAGGGAGCTCCACCGAAGGCCCCAGTAGCGGCGCTTACATGCGTCTCCGCCACCCATCCCGGCCCCCCCCCCGCAGCAGCATCATGTTTCGGGGACCCATAGGGAGCTCCCTTGGAGGCCCCAGTGGCGGCCCTCACATGCGTTTCCGCCACCCATGTCGGCACGCCCCGCGCGTGTTTCATGTCCCCATAGGGAGCTTCACCGAATGCCCCAGTGGCACCCATCTCGGCACACCCCTCACACGTTCCGTGGTCCTATGGGGAGTTCCTTTGAAGATGAAACCCGCAGCTGCGGTACTGACAACTGCATCTGGTTGGGTTCTTCGCCAGGCTAGTTTGTTGTCTTCTAGGCAGAGCTCCTGATGGCGATTCGCTGCCTGCAGCCCGGGGGCCGCTTCGTCTGCAAGCTGTACAGCGCCTTCTCGCCCGCCACAGCCGCGCTCCTCTTCCTGACCACCCGAGTGTTTGACTCCGTGCGCGTTGTCAAGCCGAAGTCCTCCAGGGTTGCCGGCATCGAGCGCTACCTCGTGGCCTCCGGCTTCCTCCCTGGCCCCGAGGCGCAGACAGTACGACAGGCGCTCGAGCGCTCGCACGCCGTGGCGGGCGGCATCATGGACAGGCCGCTGCTGACCCCCACGGTCGACCCGCAGGACTCAGCATCGTCTAACACATCCCCTTTCCACCGGGCCATGGTATCTCAGCCCCATCTGCCCATCCCCTTAGGTGGGGATAGGCCCAGCGAAACAAGAAGGAACAGGCATATATCCCCACCCACCTAGGTGGGTAGTTTGCCAGTGGGGCCTATGCCACGCCAGCGGGGAGGGATCGGTTAAACGATGCTCAAGGACCTGGCTGGGGACGAGGGCTTCCTGGCACAGCTGCGCGCCATGGCGACGACCCTCTGCGAAAGGCAGACGCAGGCTATCGACGCGATCACGCAGAGGGCCGAGTACCTGGAGGACGTGGCCCTCGAGGCCCTGTCGCACTCCGAGCTTGCCGACAACGACCCCTGCTGGGTGGTGGAGGACCACCGCGGCGAGCGGCGGCGAGATGGCCGCCGAGGCGGAAGGCGCTGAGCAGGCGTCTACCCGGCGAGCACGCCGACCTTTGCCAGGGGAGCAGGGGACGAAGAGCACGATGTTACTCGAGGAAGGAAGGGCTGCACAGACATAAGCTTGCGGAGGTCCGCTCTGATTTTTGGGGTCGGCGCTGGAGCGCCCTGGCGGCGCCTCCGGTGCCGCCCCTGGCGCGCTGCGCGCGCCAGCCAGGGGGGTCGGCGCCGATCCAAGAAATCAGCGCAGATCTCCGATGTTATGTTGATGCGGTTGTTAGTTCCTCAATTCGAGCCCCCCCCCTGCTTTGGCTCAGGGCGTCCGCCGAGGCGGCATCTGTACTCCGCCTGCGGTGGTGGAGTTTTTTTGTTGTGAGGTCCAGTTTTTTTGATGCCGCTCCGCAGCAGGGCGAGGGCCTGTGCGAATGTAGATTGCTAGAGCAGGAGTGCGCTGTGTTCTTCTTTTGGGGCAAGTGCCCGAACCCGCCGTCGCTTCTCCTGTCCCTACCCACCCACACCCCTTCTTCAATCCGTCCACCTCCGCCCCCCGCTTGACATTTCTTCTGCCTCCCTTGTGAATGATTGTCGAATAGACACAACAATTCAGCGAAATGCTTCTTAACCCGCCCCCCTGGGAGCTGCTAGTGCCTCCAGGTGCGGGCTGTCAAATGTGATTACAAAGTTGTCACTGCCATCCTGGCAGTGTCGGCAATGTACAGGCGACCAATTGTACAGATTTGCCAATGCAGGGTTGAAACATGCTTGTTGCTGTCATATGTCATATCGTCATCTGTCATTGTCGATGTCAGCTGGTAAGGTGGCGGAGGAGGGAGGACGATGATGAGGATAGCAGGATGAGGGGTTATGACGTGTTTGCATTTTCCGGCGAGGTGGCGGAGGATAGAGGAGGGAGGAGGGGCCAGGGGCATGATTTTTATGTAATCGCTTCGCTCATTCCGCTGGCCCTTCTTGTCGCTCCTATGTCGAGTGTCCGAGTTATGGGGGTGAATGCGAAGCTGTTGGGTGGGGTTTGTATTCCTGAGGGGTCGCAGTAACTGTGGAGTTGCTTTCGGGGGTTCGTCGCAGATTCTGTCGGGGTTGTCCTGGGGCAACGGTGGATGATCACGGATCTGGTAGGCGCTTTGCATGTGTCGGTGAGGGGTTGATGATCCTGGAAGGTTGCTATGGGGCCATTTCGCATATTGGAGATTGGAGGTATTCGTCGCAAGCTTGAGCCTTTCCGTTTTGGAGGGTGGCGGCTTGTGAATGCGATCGCAGGAAGAGGAAGAGGAAGAGGAGGATGAGCCTATTGGAAGCCGCTTGGGCCGTCTTGAAGGCGTCTTGTGCCGTCTTGGGGCTATCTTGGACGGCTTGGGGCGATCTGTGGGTGTCTCGGGCCCTTCGTGGGCCCCACTTGATCTCGTCGTGGGGCGTTCGCGGGGCCCGTCTGGCCGTCTTGAGCCGTCTTAGGGCGGTCTTGGAGGCCTCGTGGGCCTTCGTGGAGCGTCGGCACGTTGAGACGGCGAGACGACAGAAGACTTCGAAGAACGTATGGGACATCACTGATGTGTGCCTCGTGGGGACCTCGTGGGAGGCCTCTTGGAAGCCTCTTGGGTCGTCTTGGCGGCCTCTTGGGCCGTTGTGAGGCTATCTTGGGCGGCTTGGGACGCTGATGGCTTCTGGCTGTAGGGCCTGCCACCTATGTGTCGACTCTTTGGGCCGCTCCTGGATAGTTCCAGAGGCCCGTGTTTTGCCATCGCAGGCGTTTGCCTGCGCGTTCGTGGCCTTTAGGGCCTGTTTGGAGCCGTTTTTGGGGTCTCTTTTTGGGCATCTTGGGGGCCTCGTGGGGCCTCCGGGGGGTCTCCTGGGCTCCTTTGGGGGCCTCTTGGGGCTCCTGTGTGGGTCTCTTGGGGCGGAAGGCTCGAATCGGTGGTTCGTGTTCCCCCTCTTGGGCCCCTCTGAGGGCCGTCTTGAGGCCCTCTTGGGCGATCTTGGCCGCCTCTGGGGCCGTTTTGGGGCCGTCTTGAAGGGGTCTTGAGGGCCTCTGGGGCCATCTTGGGGCGTCGGAAAGCCGAAATGGCGAGAAGACTGAAAATCTCCCCAAACCGAAGGGCAATCAATGATTCCCCACATGCTTAGTGGGGTTCTGGTTTTCTTCCCTGCCTCGTCGCACCCGCGGCCCTCACACCCCACCCCGCGGCACAGCACAGCACAGCACAGCACTGCTCAGCACAGCTCAGCACAGCTCAGCACAGCACAGCGCACAGCTCAGCACAGCTCAGCACAGCTCCGCTCAGCTCAGCTCAGCACAGCACAGCACAGCACTGCTCAGCACAGCTCAGCACAGCTCAGGACAGCTCAGCTCGGCACAGCACAGCACAGCACAGTTCAGCACAGCAGGGCATGCAGGGCTATGGCACTTTCTCGACACCATAGGGGGTGCGCAGGGGGTGGTCCCTGAGCGCGGCCGCTATCCGAGGCGGTCGTCCAGGGCATAGCAGGCCTGGCACTTTCTCGACACCGTAGGGGGTGCGCACGGGGTGGTCCCTGAGCGCGGCCGCTATCCGAGACGGTCGTCCAGGGCATAGCAGGCGTGGCACTTTCTCGACACCATAGGGGGTGCGCACGGGGTGGTCCCTCACCGCGGCCGCTATCCGAGACGGTCGTCCAGGGCATAGCAGGCGTGGCACTTTCTCGACACCGTAGGGGGTGCGCACTGAGCGCGGCCGCTCCGAGACGGTCGTCCAGGGCATAGCAGGCGTCGACACCATAGGGGGTGCGCAGGGGGTGGTCCCTCGCTATCCACGGTCGTCCAGGGCATAGCAGGCGTGGCACTTTCTCGACACCGTAGGGGGTGCGCAGGGGGTGGTCCCTGAGCGCGGCCGCTATCACGACGGTCGTCCAGGGCATAGCAGGCGTGGCACTTTCTCGACACCATAGGGGGTGCGCAGGGGGTGGTCCCTGAGCGCGGCCGCTATCCGAGACGGTCGTCCAGGGCATAGCAGGCGTGGCACTTTCTCGACACCATAGGGGGTGCGCAGGGGGTGGTCCCTGAGCGCGGCCGCTATCCGAGACGGTCGTCCAGGGCATAGCAGGCGTGGCACTTTCTCGACACCATAGGGGGTGCGCAGGGGGTGGTCCCTGAGCGCGGCCGCTATCCGTGACGGTCGTCCAGGGCATAGCAGGCGTGGCACTTTCTCGACACCATAGGGGGTGCGCAGGGGGTGGTCCCTGAGCGCGGCCGCTATCCGGACGGTCGTCCAGGGCATAGCAGGCGTGGCACTTTCTCGACACCATGGGGGGTGCGCAGGGGGTGGTCCCTCACCGCGGCCGCTATCCGACGGTCGTCCAGGGCATCGCAGGCGTGGCCTCACCGCGGCCGCTATGCACGACGGTCGTCCAGGGCATAGCAGGCGTGGCATTTTCTCGACACCAGAAGGGGTGTGCAGGGGGTGGTCCCTCACCGCGGCCGCTATGCACGACGGTCGTCCAGGGCATAGCAGGCGTGGCATTTTCTCGACACCATAGGGGGTGCGCAGGGGGTGGTCCCTCAGCGCGGCCGCTATGCACGACGGTCGTCCAGTGCATAGCAGGCGTGGCATTTTCTCGACACCATAGGGGATGCGCAGGGGGTGGCAACGGCCACCAAGATCATTCTCACATGCTTCACTTCAGCTATCATCACTCCAGCCATACTATAAGTATGTGGGGCTTCTCGGTAGCGTAATTTTTGTGTCGTGGAGACCTCTTGGGAGGCCTCTTGGAAGCCTCTTGGGCTGTCTTGGCGGCATATTGGGCCGTGTTGAGGCCATCTTGGGCGGCTTGGGGCGATTTTGGGGTGTGTCCCGCCCCTCTTGGGGCCGTCTTGAGACGTTCTTCCTCCCGTGTGGCCACCTCTTGGGCCCTCCTGGAGCTGTCTTGGGCTATCGTGGAGCCATCTTGGGAGCCTCTTGGGCTGTGTTGGGTCGGTCTTGGAGGCCTTGGAGCGTCGGAAATGCCGCCGGAAAGGCGAGAAGGCCGAAAACCTTGAAGAACCGAGGGCAAATCATTCGTGGGGACCTCTGAGAAGCCTCATTGAAGACTCTTGGGCCGTGTTGGCGGCCTCTCGGGCCGTCTAGAGGCCATTTTGTGCGGCTTCGGGTGATTTTGGCACGTTTCCTGCCCATCGTGGGGCCGTGTTGCTGCATTCGTGGGCCTGTGTGGCCACCTCTTGTTCCGTCTTGGAGCTGTCTTGGGTCATTGTGGAGCGATCTTGGGAGCCTCTTGGGCTGTGTTGGGGCGGTCTTGGAGGCGTCTGGGGCCCTCTTGGAGCGTCGGAAAGCCGGAAAGGCGAAAAGGCTGAAAACCTCCAGAAACCTTAGGAAAGTCAATGATTCTTGCCTCTTGGGACGCCTTTTGGAAGCCTCGAGGGGCGTGTTGGGGGCATTGAGGGCCATCGTGAGCTGCCTTGGGACGTTGTTGGCTTCTGGCCGTGGGGCCTGCCACTGATTTGGCGACTCGTTGGGCCGCTCCTGGTCGGTTCCAGAGGCCCCCAGGCCCGCGCCGAAGAAATCCGGCATCTCAGGGGTGGACTTGCCGGGACTTGCCTGGGGTACTTTTCGCTCCGGGATGCCCAGGGGCCGCCACGCGCGCGCGCGAACTACAATACTGTTAACATTTGTTACCGGAGATCTTAGCACGCCTCTGGCCCGTTGGGCCGGCGAATTGTTTCGGGCAATTCTTCGAGGGCCCGAGGGGGCTCGGGGGGGGTTGCTGGGGAGGGCCGAGGAGGAGGAGGAGGAGGAGGAGGAGGAGGAGAAGGAGGAAGAAGAGGCCGAGGAGGTGGACAGAAGGACGTGGTGAAGGCCAGGTGAGGGTGCGACGGGGGTGTATAAAGGAACGTCGCCGTCTCAGCACCAGGATACCCAACCACAAGGAGGCAAGGCGAAGAACAGACACTGCGAGGGTGGGTGGTATCCAGGTGCCTGCAGCTAATCGGCCACCGTGCCAGCGAGGCACTCCGTGTGGCGAC